GATTTGCAGTCCAACAGTGCCATTGGGCCTCCTTCCTATAAAGCCTAGGAAACCCTACAGAACATTTCTATACTGTCATATGGGGTCCCTAGGAGTTGAAATCTACTTGATGAGACCTAAGAACAACAGGCCTACATTTGCAATTCTATTGAACAAGAATAATAGCAGGTACCTAGCCAAGGTCCTTGAAAGCTTAGACCCAGCCCATAGTTGGGACAGCACCTGGCATTTAATGAAGGTCCAATTATTATTGATCCTGTAATTATAATTTGATTGTGTTTACTGTTGCTCTCTTACAGTTTGTGAACTATAAGTGATTGTTGTTGTTAAGTGCAGTTGAGTCAGTTCCAACTCACAGTTACCCTGTATAGGGTTTCCAAGACTTTTAAATCTTTGTGAGAGCTGAAAGCCTCATCTTTCTCCCATGGAGTGGCTGGTGGGCTTGAACCCTAGACCTTGTTGTGGTTCTTAATATGGTAATTATCATAGGGTGCCAACACACTCCCTATAAGAGGTAACATGGCTTTTAAAGGACATGCAGTGTTAAATAAGCCATAGTGCCTGTCATTGGTGAGTCCTGGTGCTGCGCTAAAGGATAAGCACTGGACTACTCACCACAAGGTCGGAGGTTCCCGCTCATCAGCCGCTCCTCAGAACGAACTCAGCGGCACTTAACAACATCACCACCTGCCCTTGGCATGGAGCCCGGATGACGCAGTGATTAACGTACTCAACCACTAACTGAAAGGTTGGCAGTTCAAAACCACCAGGATCACTAGGCATCAGAATTAATTCAATGACAATGTGAGAGAAAAAGGCAAAGAAGCGTCTCCCGAAGTCTCCGTGTTGTTGTAGGACGGGAACCCCCATGCTTAGGGCTCTGAGATACAGCTTCAGGTGGGTCTTGGCTCAGACCAAGAAACTGACTTGTGTTCTTCCACCAGTACCATGCCATTTGAGCCTCCTGAGCCCACCAGGTATGGAGTGTGCCTTTGCTGAATCTCTTAGATTAAATCACGGTGTGATCGTTACGGTTTTGTGCCAACCTGGCTTGTCCATGACTCCCAGTGGTTTAGCAGTTCTGGCCTATTTGGGACCTCCAGCATGAGATTTAATATGAGATCATCACTCCCAGGATGTGATCTGAGGTGATCTACTCTGATCTCATGTAGTGATCCCGTATTGTAAACCCTCACTTCAATGATGTTAATAAGGTCGGAGGCAGTTGCAGCATGAGATTGTAGCTAGAGTCAGTCTCTTTTAAGATATCAAAGGAGAGAGAAGTGAGCCGAGAGAGAGGGCCCCACTTCCACCGAGATTGAAGAGCTGGCAGTGGAGTACATCCTTTGGCTTGAACCTGGAGTCCCTGCCCCGTGAAGCTCCTAGATCCAGGGGAAAGAAATGCTAAGATGTACGGAGATCTCCAAGAAATATTGAGCCTATGGATGCTGAAAGGAGACAAGGACATTTCCCCAGAGCCAACAAAAAGAAAACGTTTCCCTAGAGTCAGCACTAAGACTTTAGACATTCGAGTCACGGCACATAACAACAACAACAACAACAACTGTGAGAGAAAAAAATTCTGGTCATTAAAGCATCAAGTGTGGAATCTCTTATAGCAGCACTAGACAACTAAGACGGGATCTTTACAGCCACAGTCAGTCTGCTTCCCAGAGAGACATGAAGGGATGCCTGCAAGTTTGGTGTGTGCATCACTGACAATTCTGTGAACAGAAACGCCACAGAAAAACTCCCTTCTTCAAAAATGCCCTGTAATGTGAAATGTGTTATACGTAAACAAAACTGTACCCCATCCCTTGAAGGGTGTGTGAGGGCTGAGTGGATTCAGACACTGAAGGCTATGGAGTCCCGCTCACTTTGTTTCCTCCGTTTTTCTTGCTCAGTGTTTGTCCGGTTCAACTCCAGCCATGGCTTCCCAGTGGAGGTCGATTCTGACACCAGCATCTTCCAACTCAAGGAAGCGGTTGCTAAGCGACAGGGGGTTCCGGTTGATCAGTTACGTGTGATCTTTGCAGGGAAGGAGCTGCGGAATGACTGGACACTGCAGGTAAGTGTCCTGGGTGGACAGTTTCCAGGAGGCAGCCAGCCCCACTGTTTCTGCCATGTCTGCTGGCAATCTGACAGTCACACCAGAGATCTAATAGAATAAATAGCGCCTGGGGATTCCTTGAACTTTACTCCACTCTGCTTCATTAATGCTGACCTTCTTAATTATGCATCAAAACAGCAAACAGGAAGGGTTAGAAGAGAAACTGTGAGCCAGAGAGAAACACAGAGCCCAGGGGTTGGACTCGGTGGATAAATGTTTACTTACTTACTGCAGGCACCATGGTATGTACATTCCCTGTGCCTGTTCAGTCGCTACCTTACCTATCCCATTTGAATCTTAATGAAGAAGGATTCGAATAAATTGTTCTGAATTAGGCTGCACAGTCCGTGTGCAGGGAGGGATTTGCAACCCAAGTATGACCCCTGGAGGCTCTGGGTGGTTCTGCTTGGGACATGCACCTGGGGAGGGCCCACCACTTTGCAGAATCTCCTTCAGTGGATCAGAGTCACACAATGTCATTTCAAAGCTGGTGGGACAGGAAACAGAGAGCACAGCCGAGACACTCCTTTGGGATTTCGTTTCTCCAAAGCTCCCCCCTTGCTCCCATCAAGAATAGGCCACGGATGCTTTGAGAGATGTGTGCTGGCTCTCCTCCCCCAAGGGATACCACCCCTGCTCCTCATCCCATTAAACCATGGTTCCTGTTTCCTTTGGGTGCTGCATTCAGAATGGGGAGATCTGGCTGGGCAACCAAGCAACTTGTAAGTTGTTCAGTCGCCTCGAAGGAGACACTGTCCATGGCTCCAGGAAGCCAGCTGGTGCCACTGAGCCTCCCTTAAAGTTCTTCTGTAGTGCATCACTAAATGGTGCTTTCTATGGGGGTGATACAGGTGATGAGGGAGGGACTCCCACAAACAGTCTCTGATGAATGGGCACTCACATTCCTAGCTGGGTGGGGGCAGCTGCTTTGTCAGGCGCCTGCCCTGTTGGTATCCTAATCCTGTCTCTGTTCTCAGTCTTGGCATTTATTGCTGGTGAAATGCTGGCCGAATTTGGGTGTACAGAGGAAGCATTAGAAACGCGATTGCCCTTGTCACACAGGTTCATGTGCACGAACTACCTTGCTGGGCTTCCAAGCCGTTTGTCTTTATCAGGGACGCACATGTACTGAAAAAGTGTTGGGATATTTTGTTGTTTCAGTCAACTAAAAAACTTTTTGGCTGTACCTGCCAACCTGTAAGTCCAAGAATGTTTTCTTCACAAATAAATGATCTTCAAACAGCTCCCAGAGTCCAATTCCTACAGCCCACCAGAGCTTTCAGGTTCCAGAGCTACGCGCCTCTCTGATTTAGGCTGATTATGGATAAATTAATTAGTGGCGATTCTACATTCAGTTAGACTACTTGCTTGCAGATGATGGATTTTAAAATATATGCACATAAATACTTGTTTAGGTTCTCTTTTTTTTGGACAAGCAGTTCTGAGACAGACACTCTGAATGTTCTGGGGTCTGAGAGGATCCAAAAGATGGCTCAATTCAGGCATGCTCATGAATCATTCATGTGTGCTCTCAAGTGGGTTCTGATGCACACTGGCCCTGCAAAGGGTTTCGAGGCCGTCAGTCTTTACAGGAACAGAAAGCCTCATCGTTCTCCCTTGGAGCAGCTGGTGGTTTAGAACTGCTGACTTTGCAGTTAGCAGCCCAACCCATAACCCACTACAGGTCAAGGCCTCCTTAATTAGTAGCTCTAAAACCGACCCCCAAGTATTAGGTTGAATCACATGACATTACATTTTTATTATTTAAAACTATTAGCAGTACTCTTATGTTTCAATGTCAGAGCTATAAAATAAGAATATCAAATATGAGAGCTGCCATGGTTGTTATTCATAAGTACTATCAATCAGTTCTGACTCATAGTGACCCTATATAGGGTTTCTCAGGAGCAGCTGGTGGGTTTGAATCACCAGGCTTGCAGTTCAAACCCATTTGCAGTCCAGTACCACACCAGGACACCAATAACTCCACCTTTAAGAACTACTCATTCTTATGTTCTGGTTGCCTATAGATAATTGGCTTGGTGGTGCTTATGCTCCATGGAGTCAGTTCTGACTCATAACAACTTTGCATAGGGTTTACGAAGCTATAAATCGTTACAGGAGCAGAAAGCCTCATCTTTCTCCCATGGGACCACTGGTAGTTTCGAACTGCTGGCCTTGTGATTAGCAACCCGCCTCATAACCACTACTCTACCAGAGTTCCTTGGATAACTGCCATATGCAATTAGAAAAGACATATTATTAGGTCTTAAAGGTAGAGGCATGCCATCTGATAAGGAGTCACCAGGAAAGATCCCATGGAAGTTCAGACAGTTCATAAATGAGAGAATTGGCAGGCAGGATGCTTGGGCTTCTGTTGTACTGGAACCTAGAAAAAACATTGACAATTGGACAAAGAAGGCAGTTTAGAGCTGTATTTTGTGCAACCTGAGCTGACTTGGCATGGCGATGTTATGTCTGGAAAACCAGAAGACACAGAGTGCCATGCATGGAGACCCAGTTGGATTCAGTTTGAAGGATGTTGCTCCTGTTGTTGTTAAGTGTTACTGAGCCATCTCCAACACATAGTGACCCTGTGTAGGGTCTCTGAAAAGCAGCTGGTAGGTTTAACCACTGACCTTCTGTTAGCAGTCCAGTGCTTATCCTGAGTTTTTAAGCACAATGACCAGCAGGAGATGCATGTGGAGACATCTAGGAGGCCATTGAGAAATTCTTTTTGGAGTCTAGTGGGGCTCATAGTTAATGACCGCCTACAAAAGGGTAAATCTTTAGTTACTTGATGAGGTATAATAGCCACAGAGCAATGTGGAACAAGGGCAGTGGATCTGGGCATAAGCAGTTTGTTTGTTTGGTTTTCCATTTGGGAGAAGCCAGCATCGAAGTGATAATGGATACTTCTAAGGATTATTTTGTAGACCCTTAAATTCTGAGGATAAAAGGCAAAGGAAAAACTGTGTTTCAAGCAATGACCAAGTTGATAAAGGAGGAGGGCCAATAGACTGCAGTGAGGAAGGTTACAAACCAGAAAGAAGTGGTAAGGAGGTTTTGTGCTGTGGGTTGATGGTGATGGTGACTTCGGAGGGCGTCAGGGCTGCAGTCCAGTCCTGTGACTGGTGAAAGCCTGACCGATGGATGTTTGTAACAGACATGGAGGGGCTTGCTCCTGATGTGCAGGAGAGGCAGAGGGCTGTTCCCTGGAGGAGCAGCGCGTGTACATACGCCTTAATATCCTACCTCTTCCAGCCATGGATCGCAAACAGAACTGAACTCCACATGAAAGTGCAACTTTAGAGTCTGATTTTTTTATATTCTGATTGTTTTTTACTTAACGTTATGCAATTAGCTTTTTCATGTTGTTATATAATCTTTCTTTCTAATGGTGAAGATGATACTCCATTGAATGTTAATATCATAATTTATTTTGTAAATATTTGGTTGTATCTACTATCCCTTACTGCAAATTAAGGCAAACATTATTTTCTTAAAATGTGTACATTACATACACAGAGATATTAGCCGTTCTGACTCAGTTTGCACGTTTGTAAAATGAGAATGATAACAGTCCCTACCTCGCTGGACTTTTTCAGGTATACATTTGCTAATTCTGTAAGGGTCAGAGAAGAGACTGTGGCATATGGCAAGTGCTACATAAATGCTGGCATTCTTAGTCATCTTCATTATTAGGCAACTACTTCAGTGTTATAAAGATCGATTTCAATAAACAAAGACTCCTTTCTAAGGTAAACTCTGACACGTGTGTACCTATAATAAATCAAGATGTCAAGGCACTGAAATATGTAGATTGTTTATATATTTTGAATAAAATGAACTCTGGAGTTTGTAAACAAACTTTAATCCTTAAATATACAGGTTTTACTTATTTTAAGAGTAGTAGAATTTGAATTAGCAAGCTTAAAAAAAAAAAACAAAAACTATAACTTTCCTAGAGAAAGTCAGTAAAAAATAGAAACCTGTAGCTGTGGTATTACTGTTTTAAAATATGTTTTTATAAACCAGATATCTGCTTCACACTGTATTTGTTAGCAGCAGATTAAAAAGAGGTATGTATTATCGTCCTACTTCATAACCAATGCTTTAGTGCATGATTTAATTTTTTTCCTTATACCTACAAGAATGCAATATAAAATATTAATATTTGACATATTATTTACAACAGATTGAAGTTTTTTCTTTATAAGGAATTCTTGTCTGCTCTTGTAACAGAATGTAGGACCTATTTAAATGATGGGTAACCCATTCTTCTAATGTCAAATCTAACACTTGACTTATCAAAATGCCTAGAGTCACCTCTATAGCATTTAAAATTTGCTGTTCAGCATGGTGCAAGGACACTAAGCATTCTAATATAGAAGTTTACATAAAAACGGGTGGACTTTGCAATTATACTTACTGTTAAAATAATGACTTAAAAATTCATATAGGATTTTGGTTGAGACACATGAATTGTATTATTTTGGTTAATACCAGTATGAACTTATAACGATTTCTTGTTTGACACTATCGGTTAAGTATGGGATAACTAATTGAAAAGTCAGCTAATTCAAACCCACCTTAGAAAATCTATATGGGGTCACTGTAAAGCTTTTTTTGGGAACATTTTCATGTTCTTTTAAATATGGTTAGGTTATTCTTTTGTTATCAAACTGATATGAGGGGGCTTTAAAAAAGTTCATGGAACAATCTTATTTTAATTCCATTTTTCTATGAACTTGTTGAAGCTCCTTGTATGTTGTTTATATAAACTACGAGAGCAGGGAAGCTTAGACTTACAGGCCATGGTGGTGGGTGCTGTTGCCTCTCTTCTGACACATAGTGATCTTATATGGCAGAGTCCAGTGCCCCCTAGGGCTTTCTAGGCTGTCATCCTCACAGATCCAAATTGCCAGAGCTTTCTCTGCATAACCGCTGGGTGGGTT